TATGATAGCATGCTTCTGTGAAGATGGCATTTTTAAAAATTGTCTACTAGTTGTATGTTTGAACTTTTTGACGTATGATAGTTCTTGCTAGTGGGGTGGCTGGGTAGGAGCGTCTTCGTGTATTTTTGTTAAGAGTATGCATATTCATATTTAGACATACATGTGTATAAATAGGAGAGTAAATGAAAAGGTATTGCTACTAGGGTTCCAGTTCCTACATGCACGGGTTTGTTCCAAAAATCCCCTCGTTCAACCTGTCCTGATCGGTGGATATTTAAAGACAAGTTCTCCCAGTAAGACACTTGACTCTGTCTTATTCGAGCGCCTTCAAAACACAGTAGCTGTGAGAGGATCTGCATTGTCAGTTAAATTGAAGACAGAAGTCAGCCTAGAAGGCGATAGCAGTTGTTTTAGGGGATTCCTAAGGACATGTATAGAAATTTCTTCCCCGGTCCTCCACTCTCCAGTTCATTATCTCAGCATACGTGTAAACTACTTATTTAAATGGTAAGTTGAAATCTTTTGGTTAGAATATTATTTAATGTGCTTTTATTCCCTAGGTTGAGAAAATTATCTGTAATTTAAAACCAGCTTTAAAGCTTCGTCTTCGCTTCATCACACACATTACCAAGATGGAACCAGCTGCAGTGCCTCCACAAGCCATCAGTAGTGGGTCTCCAGCACCACAGCCCAACCAGGTGCCAGGGTCTCTACCTGTCAGCCAGTGAGGCCAGGGCATCTTGATGTGGTGAAGCAAGATGAACAATATGGACTTAGATCTATTAATCTGAGCATGATCGTGCTACAAAGTGATGCAGTAGATGAAGCAGTGATGTTCAGGTTGTTTGATTTTGATTCAGCTGGTGAATCTATTGAAACCTTTTAACTTCATCCCCTTAGCTATATTTTTGTCTCTAAGAGATCAAGTCAACTACAGGTTCTTTCTACCCATAACAGTTCATTAGAGCTACTAGGAACATAGAGCAATTTCTGAGCAAATCCTAGGTATTCTCAATCTTTCCTACTCTAGCTATTTTTTCTGGTTTTTAATTTTTAATTTTAGTAGCAGATTCAGTACTTTATTTGTTAAAAAAAAACAAACACCACAACATGTAAAACATAATTACTACAAAACCATTTATACATAAATCTCCTCGGGTGTGTCTGGGATTTTTACCAGATAGAGAACTCTTAAATTTCCTTCTACTGCAGGAGCAACCCAGTTTTGTATTCTCTTTTGAATGGCAACGTTTTATTGTAGCCTTCCCCATAAATGGACTGATGTTGCTGCTGAGATAGATTGGCAGTTTTTTGCTTTGCTGTCAACTTTAACTCACTGTGTAAGGTAAGTTGGAAGCCATATAAGAAAGGAACATCTGGAAATGTAAATAAAATCAGGCTTCACTGGTTGCTTCTCTAATCTCTGTTTTTAGAAATAAATTCACTGCTCTTCTAGGTTGACAACGTCCCCTGTCATATGATGTAATTATTTGTATGTTTACAGGCGGAGACAATTTTTAATAATGTATTTTTAAATGTAGTACACACCTTAGTTCTTTAAGGTGTATTAGATGTTGAGAGGCGTACTGTTGATTTTGGAAGAAACGAATGCCAGTAAGATTGCAGAAGACCTTTTAAAAAGTGGAAATCTGTTAAATAAACTAGCTGACTTCCTTAACACTTACCTGGAGTGTGTGTCTGCTGGCCGCATCACAAATTCGAGCGGTGCTGCTTTGGGGGTGATGTACATGCCCCAGTTGGGCCTATGATGTGACGTTGGAGTTAAGAGTTATTAGATTTTTAAAAATTTACTAGAATATTCAAACAGCTATCCTTCAGGATCTTGTTTCCAAGCACCTTCTCCCTGGGCCTTTGTCCCCTTCATTGGTCGTGTTCTTGCAGCCTCGTGTGCAGACTCTTTGTTTGTCATCCAACCCCTCCTTGACATTTCCATGATCCTCAGTGAGCTTTTCCACCTAATAATATTTTTGAAATTCTTCAAGAGTTTTATGCTGAAAATTATTTCCAAACATACTCTCAGCAGTTGTCGTAAGCTGCCATCCAGTTGGCGCCTACTTGCAGCAGCCCATCCGCAGCAGAAGGGACACCCCCAGGCCTGCGCCGTCCTGACAGGAGGGCGGGAGAGGTGCCTTTGAGCCCATCATTGCAGCACTGTGGCCATCCATCTCGGTCATGGCGCCTCTCTTCTCAATGTATTATTTTGCATTCAAAGAATATATTGCTTTAAGATCCTAGAATCGAAATAATTACGACACTGACGATAGGCGAACAGAAAGCTACCTTCTCACTTCCATGTAACTACGTCCAGGAAAAACACAACAAACACAAACCCATTGCCACCAAGTCGATTCGGACTCACAGATTCGGCAAACCATTAACATCTTTCTCCCAACGAGCTAAGCCTTGGGTTCTGACTAACCAGGAAAAAGAGCTTCGAGTGGAAGAAACATGTTGTGCTTTGAAAGAACAGCTCCTAAAAAGGAACAGCTCCAAAGTGTCCCAGACTTTTGTTCCAAGGTGTCAAGACATGGTGCTATTCTTATGACCCTGAAAGCAAACATCAATCAAGGTAGTGGAAGACGCCATGGTCACCTCACCCAAAAAAAACTCTTCAAGGGAAATCAGAGATCAAGACGGTGCTCATTTGGTTTTTTGATGTGAGGGGGATAGTGCATTTGGAGTTCGTGCCATGAGGTCAAAGTGTTAATCAAGCTTTCTCTTTAGAGCAGTGGTTCTCAACCTTCCTCATGCCATGACCCATTAATACAGTTCCTCATGTTGTGGTGATTGTCCCCCACCATAAGGTTATTTTTGTTGCTACTTCATCACTGTAATTTTGCCTCTGTTATGAATCGGGTGACCTCGGTGAAAAGGTCTTTGGACCCCCAAAGGGGTCATGACCCATAGGATGAGAACCGCTGCTTTAGAGATTCTGAAAAGATTGCATAACAGTGTGCAACAAAAGAGGCCTGATTTGAGCCCGGCCGACTGGTTTTCCACCATGACAACGCACCTGCTCCTGCTTCTCGGTGTGCCAGTTTTGGGCAGAAAACCAGCATGCCTCTCTTGCCCCACGCACCTTACTGACCTGATCTCACTCCCTGCAACTTCTGTTTCCGAGAATGAAGAGGGACATGAAAAACAGCGATTTGACAATAAAGAAAATGTGAAGAATAAAATGAGGGGAGGTGCTGTCAGCCATCCAAATAGATGAGTTTGAAAAATGTATCCAAGCATGCAATCGCAGATGGGACAAATGTATTGTGTAATGAAGAGTACTTTGAAAGTGATAGGGTGGTTTTGTAAAAAAAAAATTTTTTTAAATACATAGCTTTAGAGAAAAAAATTCCAGGTTTTTGGGGGGTGTACCCCTCATAATATACCTGCTCTGTTCATGGCCCTGGTCCTGCTCTGGGAATCTCACTGGAAAATAGTGATCTGCTAGCAACCATGGTTAGGTGACAGTCTTCTTTGCCCTCGTGTCTGTTTGAAGCTTCGTATTGAAGCAAACCCTCGGCCACCACTATGACCTAGTGCTAATGGGCCCCTTAACCAGGCGATATGTCTCCGAGGTGGGCTTGTCCTTGTGCGGTGAAGACTTAGCAATGTTCTTTTATTTAAAATATAACTGCAAGTGATGAAAATTATTTTTTCTCCTTCAAAGACCTTAGCGGCAGGCAACAGGCATCAAACTCTAGGTTCCTAGGGAACGATCCGATGGTAGTATTTTCTTATACTTGTTAGACAATAGCAACACAGATTTTCTCAGGGAGCCTGCTTAATGAAGCTTCCTAGGATTCTTATATGGGGGACTTCAAGAAGTCTGTGGTAAAATAATGAAAAGATGGATTTTTCCTAAAAAACGTTTTAAAGCTCCCTTGCATAGGTTAGTCATTGGCGGAGGTGGGAAGGGGGGAGGAAGGGTTTGGCTCCCATGTTTTGATTTGGTTCCCATGAAATTTGCTGTATTGGTTGTTGTTGTTTTTCATTTTCTTCACTCTATCCCAAATCTAAAATTAATTTTTCAGGATATTTAAGGTTGTGAGCTGAAGGAAGTCAGTGATATTTTAGTTTGCCATTCTAATGTGCATAGGAGCCCTGGTGGCATAGTGGCTGCAAGTTAGACTGCTAACCACATGGTTTGGAGTTCAAAACCACCAGCTTCACTGTGGGAGAAGGACAAGGCTTTCTACTCCCATAAAGATTTATAGACTGAAACCCACAGGAACGGTTCTACTCTGTCCTATAGGGTTGCTCTGAGTTGGAATCAACTCTATGGCATTGAATTGATCCTAATCTGAATTAGTATATCTTGGAGACAAAATGGCAGCTTGATTTTCCTGGCTCCTGTGTACATTTTTTAGGATATCTTCAACCTCCCAAGAGGCTCTGAGTATCAGTCATGTTTAAAATAACCAGTATTATGTTTGAGCTTTAAAAATACTAAAATATGACCGTGTAGCATTCACAAAGTACAGCCAGAGTGCTCCGTACAGGCAAGGATGACAAAACTTCATCTTATAGCCTTTGCACATGTTGTCAGGAAAGGGTGTTGTGCCTAGAGAAGGATATTGTGCTTGGTAAAGTGGCGGGGCGGCAGGAAAAGAGGCAGAGCCTCGATGAGATGGATGGACACAGTGGCTGTGACAGTGGCCTCCAGCAGAGAACAGTGGTGAGGAGGGCACAGGACCAGGCAGTGTTTCCTTCTGGTGTGCCTAGGGTCCCTATGAAATGGAACGAACTAAGTCAATGGCCCCTGACAACAACGCTCACAAATTTTGATGTTACCCAAATATTATTACCTATTTTACAGGTGAAGAAATCAGAGCCAGATAATTTATACGCTTTTCAAGTGATCTTCCAGTGTTTTGAGAATGATTTCACTGCAGCTTTTAAAATCTTTTAAGGTCATTTTAAGTAGGATGTGCATGTATATAATGTGCACCTGTTTGGGGACATATAATATAAACACAATAGAATCTTATTATAAAGAGTTTATTATAAAATTCACATCTTGTGAACAACCTGGGCATAAATATTTTTAAGATGCTATAGCTTTGTCTGCTGGTATTGGGAATCCCATTCTATGTGGGAGTGTATCAGTATCAGCACAGTTTCAAATGAAAATTAATGGATATTTTTTCTTTCCAAACCCTTTGGCCAAAATAAGAAATAGAAGCTTTTTAAATTTCACAAAATTAGAATGTCCATATCTTGAATTTCACACCAAGGGAAAGTCAAATTTTACAGTTTGCACTACTTGTATAACATTTACTAAGGCAAATCATTTTTCTGAAAGAACAACTCTGGGGAGAAGAACTGACTATAGGCCGAAGTAAATTATTAGCTTTGCTAGTTCTGTCATTAGCAGTGAGGTTGTAAATAGGATGTCTCCACGTTTACTTAGGTGGGCTCAGATAGTTGATGTCCTTATGATTCCCCTCCCGGGCAACTCCAAAGCAACCCAAGGTGATTGCTACTGCGGTGTTCACTGTGCGCGTGACTTCTTCTGGTGTCTTCCCCAGAGATGGATTCACTTCCATGATGTCTAATCCCGAAAGGAGCCCTACAAGAACAAGTGGTCAAAACGGCATCTATAAAAGAGCTAACGTTTTACCTCAGTACAGATTGACTGGAAAGATTACACAGATATGTCAGGAAGTGGTAGCCCATCAAAAAGGCGCTTGCGTAACTGCACCATATGAGGGCTGCTTTTGAAGTGTCCTTAGGCACTTGGTCTTCAAGAAGGCAGAAAAATACCAGGTGGGCTCACAAAATTCAAAAATGGAATTAAAAGATAACGAAAAATTTGAAGCCCCTTTGTAAAAATGGCCAAGGTTCCTGCTGCTGCTTATTCCACCAGAGTCTTGCCTACCTGTTTTGTAAATTTCCTCTGTAATGTAGATGCCTTCTCTGTAAGACAGACCTCCCTGCACTGGTGTGCCAGTAGCTGGTGTGAAAGATGGGTCCAGTCCATCAACATCAAAACTCAGGTGAATTGGCCTTTTCTTTCTTTTAAGAGAGGGGAAAGGAATTCAGATTAAGGATGGTGATTTAATGTTTGGTAGGTTAAGTATAGTTCTTAACCTGCTGTATAAAAAGCAACAGCCCAGTAAAGTGTCATGATTTTACAGAAAGGCTTTATCAAGCATTTACATTGATTAGTGTCAGCGGCTAGCAAGTTTTCGATAAAATTTATGCTACATACACCCACGTGCACACAAGCATCATACCTTCCTAGGAGATAGCTGAGTGTTTCTTCCATCACCTTACCAATTCCAAGTTTATCCACTTCACTCATCGAAAAGTATTTAATTCCAAAGGTCTTCAAAATATAACTATGAAAGAAGAAACATTAGGATAATATACAATTAATAATGATATTGATTCATAACATTTGAAAGGTTCATCCATGTTGTAGCATGTATCAAAGCATGACTTCTTTTTATGACAATATATTCCATTGTATGTATATACCACATTCTTTCTTATCCATACCTAACTAGTCTTTTCAACCATTTGCACCTGTACAATTCAGTGACATTCATGACCTTCCCCATGTCGTGCAGCCATCATCACTTTCCAGGTTTCTTCAGAATCCTTAATGAAACTCAAGGAACCCTGGTGAGATGCGGGGCTGCAAACTGCAAGGTCAGCATTTCAAATCCACCAGCTACTCCGAGAGAGAGAGAGAGAAGGCTGTCTATTCTCATAAAGATTTATAGTCTCTGAAACCCACAGGAACAGTTCTGCCCTGCCCTATATTGTTGCTATGGGTCAGAATCAATTAGATGGCAATACGTTTTTT